CAGCAGCCACTTGAGGCAGCTGGTAACATTGCATGGATGCTGGGCTCAGTTCTCTTTTGTCTCAGTCAGGGATCCTCACTATAATTAACCTAATCTAGAAAGGCCTTTGCGACTTTCCCAGGAGTCGTTTCCATGGTGATTCTAAATCCCAGCAAGATGATGATCAAGATTAACCAAGGTAGAAGGCTCTAGTAGCCTAGGCTGGCTTTGAGCTCATTACACAGTTGAAGCTAACACCCAACTGTCCCTCCGCCCTCACCTCTCCAGTGCTGGGGTCGTAGATATTCAACACCACACCCAGTTTCCTGTCCCCATCTTAAATGTTTATCAGGGTTTTCTTAGTTCATCTTATTTTTACTTTCCCACACTAATCATTATTATTAAAAATAGTTTGGGGTCACCATAATTTATTTAGATAGACCCATGTGTTTTCTAAATATTTGACCACTTCTCTTGTGGCAGCTCATTTCCTTTTGACCTTAGTTTTTTTCTTCCTTAAATACATCAGAAGTTTCCCCTGTAAAGGCCTATGGTGGTTCTCTGGTTTTGTTTATCTGAAGATGTCCTTAACTTATTCTCTTTTAAAAACAAATAATGTTCTTGTCAGGCATGGGTGGCCTATGCCTATAATTACAACATTTGGGAGACTGAAGAAGAGATGGAGAGTTTAAGGCTAGCAAGACCCTGACTCAAAAGTTAAAATCTGACTCTACTCAAACATAATCCACGCAGCAAACTTCAGTTTCTGGTGTGTGTGTGTGTGTGTGTGTGTGTGTGTGTGTGTGTGTGTGTGTGTATAATAAGGTCCCATATCTCCCAAGTTGCTTTCAAGCTTGTTGCAAATCAGAAAAATGACCCTGAAAATGTGATCCTCCACCCCCCAAGTGTTGGAATTACAGGCATGCACCATCACAGTCAATTTATGCAAAGCCGGGGATTGAACCTAGGACTTGAGCATTTGAGGCAAGCATTCAAGCAACAAACTACATTCCCAGTCTAAATTTCAGCTTTTAAATGAGGCATATAATTCAGTAGTTTTGAGTCCATCCACAAATTGTGCAACCATTACCACTAATTTCAGAACATTTCATCACCTTGTGGGGGTGGGGGGAAGAAATTCCATGCTGGGTGAAGTGCCCCCAACACTCAGGAGGCAGAGGCAGGTATATCTTCAGGCTAGCCTAATGTATATTTTATATAGCAAGACCTTTTATAAAAAAACCAAAGGAGAGAGAAACCTCCCATCTTTTAGTGTAGTGAGCACTAATTTATGTTCTTTTCTTTTCTTTTCTTTCTTTCTTTCTTTTTTTTTGTTTTTTTTTTTTGTTTGTTTGTTTTTTTGTTTTTCGAGACAGGGTTTCTCTGTGTAGCTATGGAGGCTGTCCTGGCAGTCACTCTGGAGACCAGGCTGCCCTCAAACTCACAGAGATCCTCTGCCTCCCAAGTGTTTGAATTAAAGGCATACACCACCAACGCCCAGATTATGTTGTTCTTTTCAATTTTTGGAATTGTCTATTCCGACATGTCACCTAACTGGAATCATACACGTGCCTTTTAAATTATTTTATGTGTATGAATGTTTCCCCTGTATATGTATGTTTACTACATGTGTGCAGGGCCTGGTGAGGCCAGACACTGCTACTTGTGAACTTCAACTTCAATGCTGGGAACTGAACCTGGGTTCTATGAAGAGCACAAGTGCTCTTAACTACTGAGCCACCTCTCCAGCCTGGAGTCTGGTTTTTTTTAGTTAGCATAATGTTTTCAAGTTTCATCGACATTATAGCATAGCATATACCAGTGATTTTTGATATTTTATTTACTTTAGTTTTTCTGTGTGTGGCCCTGCTATCCCCGAAAGTGCTTTGCTCTGCAGACCAGTAGGGCCTTGAATTTAGAGATGGCCTGCCCCTGCCCAAGGTCTGGGATTAAAGCCCAGTTGTTTTGAGACAGTGTTGCTTGCAGCCCAGTATCCAACTCACTGGAAGACCTTGAATTGGTCCTGATCCTCCTGCACCCACCTCCCAAATGCTGGGCTTATAGGTGGTTTACATGGTACTGGAATGGATAAGGTGATCACTCTTCTTTCCCAGCTCCTTCCTGTACTTACCTTTTCCTAACAACGTACCGTGGAGACTTCGTAAGTGTGTGCAGACCGCCCTTTCTTTCATCCTGGCTTACGGCAATCCTTGTATGAATGCCCCATGATTTATATAACCAGTTTCTATTGGTGGGCTTTCTACGTCCTTCTCAACTACGACAATTCCATTCTCCACTCTCTACAGGTGAGAGTTTACCCGAGGGATAATTCGCAGAAGTGGAATTCTGGTTAAAGGGGCAAAGACGCTGTGTATGATGACGAACCAAAATTGATGGGTTGCTCAGGAAAGTGGATTCCACGGACCTCTGCCTGCCAGCCAGCACGTCTCTCTTCTTCCGGGCATCCCCGCCCCCTCTGAGACAGAAGACACCCTGGGAAGTAGGGGAAAGGTCGCGGAGGGAGTTGCTTCCTCCCTTGCACAGTGTTGAAGCTTAGAGGTGAGAGCTTCTCCCCAGACAGAGCTGGTCTTGCCCGGGCACGCTAACTCCTGGAGATCAAGGGATCCCCGATCTTCACCCCAGCAGGCATAAGAGCCACCCACGCACGCCCACGTGTGGATGTTCACTGTTATAACTCTGTAATTCTAGGAGGGGGTGGGACGTTCCCACTCTCGGCCTCCCCAGGAATCTTTTCTGAGATTCCCCTTGGCGGACAACCTGTCTGCATCGCCTTGGCTAGGGCTGGCGGATGACTAGTAAGGCAGGTGAGTTTCCATGTGTGAAGCCTGGACCATGGCCACCTCCTTCCTCTCCAGTTCAAACCGAAGGCGCTTCTAAAAGCAAGGAGTTTATTTTATTTATTTTTGTTTTTCGAGATTTGGAGCCTGTCCTGGCGCTCGCTCTGTAGGCCAGGCTGGGCTCGAACTCAGAGATCCGCCTGCCTCTGGCTCCCGAGTGCTGGGATTAAAGGCGTGCAACACCAACGCCCGGCCCAAGTAGTTTATTTTAAATGAAAGAAAACAAGAAGTGTCTAGGAGCCGATGCCCTCCCCGGGGACCGGAGCCACTCAGGGCAAGGTACTGTGCCCAAACGCGGTTAAGAGCCAAGACCAATGCCAGGAGCATATTTCACTTTCACTCGGGAGGGTTCGGGGCCAGCCCGGGCTGCGCAGTGAGAACGGGCTCAGAGAGAACCCCTCCCTGCGGGGCTTCCACGCCCTGCCCGCCCCGAGCGGCGTCACTTCAAGCATGGTGACGAGGAGGGCGGGGGAGAGGCACTCTTGGCTGCTGGTTTTCTAGAAGGTGGGGGCGGCCGGGGTTGCTCCTGACGCCAGACCCATTCCGTACAGCAGTGAGTCGACCGCGAGCCGCGGTGACCGCTCCAGCGGACGCAGGCGCAGGGCGAGCAGCGGACGAGCAACGCAGCAGCCGG